ACCAACCAAAAATCCACTTTTTGGTTCACGGGCGTTACATTCTTTGTTCGGTTTTTGCCATCGGTTTGATTGAGTTTTGTTGTCGGATTGTGAATTGACTTCGTGCCTAGGGTCTTGGTAGTTATTATCTTGGATATGTACTTACCGCATCTTAAGATTTTTGACAACTCTCGTTTTTCGGTGGATTGTGTGTGCGTAGCCGTTTGCTTAGTTGGGTTATTCTTCGATTAGCAACATTTTTACTCGTTGAATCTTTCTCTTTCTCCTTCCACCGTCCTTAGTTTAGCAGAATAATGAGTTTTCGTCTGTGGTCTTCTTGGTCGGTTCTTGTAAGGCTAACCTCTTGTGGGGATGCAAAGTTCTAGATTTAGACCTTTTATGATGAAGATTAGGTGGGTAGGAGATTAGATTCTCGATTGTGGTTTCTTATTCTTGTTAGTCGTCGTATTTGGATCAATTCTTCGCGATTTCCCCTTTGTCTAAGCGGCGTCTTGTGAGCTTTGTTGTTTCGCGTTTACGGCTCTTTCCGCGCTTTCAGTTGATTGCGAGTGGTAGTTCCATGTTCTGAGTTTTGTGGTAGTTATAAATTCTAGATAATCGTAGATTGCTTCTCGGTAATCTTTTGGACTATGCTCCCCGATAAACTTTCGGATTTTGGTTTCCCGTAAAACTCTCAGGTTCTGTATATGATCTATGCGGAGTTGTAATCTACTTTGTTTCTTTTGATGTTTAATAATAATATCTACCAGTGATAAAAAAAAAGCATACGCTCATCATCTGTTTTTAAATTTTTAAATTACAGCACATGTATGGCTGGAATTGTTTTCACTCCAGAACCAGAATCTTTTTCTTGACTGAGACATCATGAGGACTCAGTTATTCAGATTTAATTCGGTATAAGTCACTATAATTATGATTATGTAAGAAGGTTTTCTTAGATCATCTTAACAATAATGTGTTTAGAGAATACTACTACTACAAAACAGGCGAAGACTCTCTCTTGCCGACAACTCTCTCTCGGCCTTTAGAGTCACAACTCAGATCTGTCTAGTTTTCCGGCGCCGGCGGCTTCCACAGCACCGGTGACGGATCCCGTGTTGTATATTAGGCTGTCTTGTCTTTCTTGTGGTTAGCGGTGCTCTGTATGTATCCAAAGGATAGGGTATAGCTTAGGTTTGGGTTGATTGCAGAGGTGTTGTGGTGGGTTTTGATCTTTCGTTCTGGAAGGTGGTCGCGGTTCCTTAGGCCCTGGTCGAATTCGCGTTTTGGTCCGGCTTCGTCGGGTTAGAGATACTCCTTCTGGTTGTTGTGGCGAGGTACTTTCGTCGGAATCCGACCCTCTCGCTGTGTGGCTTGGTCGTTGTTGGGCTTACGGTGGTAGGGTGGTGGGTTTCGGTCTTCTCTGAACTGAGATCGGGAGGGTGGAGATGTTGGGGTTGTAGTGGGCTCGGGTTATGAGCTTGGAATGGGCTCGGGTTAATGGGCTTCGGTTTGTGTTCGGACCGGTTTTTGGGCTTCTGGGTTGGGCTTCATTTCTGTACCCTGGGCTGGAATTTATATTTGCTTCACCGGTTTGTTTTGGTTCACTGTTCTGCCTTTGCTGTTGATTTGTTCCGTGAGTTTAGTGATTCTATCGGTGGCTTTCCGAGTGTTGTGTTGTGTCTTTGCTAGCATGTCTGTTTGATCTCCTTTTGCCTTGGGTTATTATCGTTCTAGCCGGGTTCGATCATGTGCTGTTATGGGTTCCATTTCTGGTATTTTCCGGTTAGTGTGGGCTCGCTTTTTGTCTCTACATCTAAGATCTGGTCGTGATCTTCTCTTGTTCAAAGGATACTAACTAGGGGTTGACAAGTCGAGGTATCCTCGGTATCGCCGTTTCCAGAAGTTTTGTGTGAAGATTCAGTCTTCTCTGGTTTCTTACGCCTTGCTGGAATAGTTTCCTAGGTTCATTGATTTGGTTAGGTATACTTATTCATCATAGGAGGAGCCGCATATCGTCTGTTGGTTTTCGTGGACCTGTCGATATGCTTTCGCGGTTTGGCTGCAAGGTCTTGGTTATCTCTGGTGTGGTCTGGTTTGATGTAGCTCGGTCTTCGGTAGTGGTTGATAGTTTTCTTTCTCGAAGTTGTGTTCTCTGTTCTTTTGGACTTTAGTTGTATTTTGGCTTTACCTTTGTCTTCCTCACACAGGGCTTTGACTCCGCGGATTGTGTAGTCCGCGGCTTTGTATTCCAAAAACGCATCCCACCCTGTATTATTCCAGTGTTTTTAATAAAATCAAGATGACAAAAAAAAAAGAAGGTTTTCTTAGAAATATTGGGTTTTCGACTTGGTGACTCAGTCTACGATTTGTGGGGTTCCATTATTTTTTAGCTTTTGAAAATTTTAAGGTTATGAGGTAATATGGTTTAGGTTTTTCCGGTTCATTTTTCTCTGGAAAAATATCGGCATTGTTTGGAAAGAAAAAAATAATATTTTGATTGGGTTAATTCATTAGTTTATCGGTTATGATATATTACTGGAAAATTATGAGATAGAGTAAAATTAGTGAAATAACAAACTAATTTAAAAATTAGAAAACCATGAACTGGTGTGGGAGAAAAGTTGGTATTACCCCTACTTCTTCTCTAATTAACCTTCTTTACTAAAACTATGTTATTGTTTTTCCATTTTCCACGGCGCTTTCAGCGAATTCTGATTTTTTCACCATTTGAATTGGTCACTATCGACGAAGTTTTTCGAATCTAAATTTGACATATTTTTTTTTCTTTCACCAGAATCTCATATATTTGATGATTTTCATGTTCTTTATCTCTCGAGAATTGTTGTCGGATCTTTCTCCTTCTCCCACTTGTCAATTTTCTCTCTTTATTTTGCCAAAGTCTCATTCGATGGTTTTTTTTTCTTATCGCCAGAACTATCGCCGAATCTTGTTCACTTTCTGCATTAGAACATTGCCAAAAATTTCTATAAAAAATAGGATGTAGGGTAAAATCATCCACAAAGTCTTTTTATTTGTCAAACATTTAATTTTCATATTTACATAGTCATATATTTAGTTTAAGATTCAATTTTGGTTATTACACAATCTAACCATATATTATTTGGATATTAAAATAAAAACTTTATCAGTTATTAATTTGTTGGTTCTACCTTGTTAACGTAAAATGAATTTGATTTAATTGAACATTTCTAGTTCTGCTCATTGATAAATATGATAATTATACTCACACTCTAATCACACTTCTCGAATATTATTATCAAACCTTGTTATCTTTAGTTTTCAGAGTTTTAAAAGCGTTTTTCTTTGTCAAGAACTCTTTGAATCACTAATCTACTTTTCAAAAAATTGGTTTTCCTAGAATGAGGATAGCTTTTCTGTTTTAATTACTCATAAAAGATTATAGACTTTTAGCTCTCTTTTTTTTATCAAAGAAAATTGATTGCAATAAAATCAGAAAAACCCGATAGAACCGATACAGAGTTTAGGCTTGATTTTGCTAAACCATCAACCTCAAAGTTTTGTGATCTTTTAACAAACTCAAAAGACACAATATTCAGAGCAAGAGAGAGATACGAAATATCCTTAAGAACACTAAGGATCTCGAGGTTTTGATTCTTTGTGTTAATCAGGTTGATCATGACTTGTGAATCAGATAGTACGCAGCAGGAGTATAGATCCCGTGATGACACTTGAAAGAGAGCTTCGTTTGTTTTAGCGATGGATCCTGAGCAGGGGTTCGAGTTGCGTCGTCCCGAAAGAGCCATCCTAGTCCGGCTTTCTTTGTGTCCTGTTTCTAGGCTGCATCTGTGAAACAGCGAAGGATGTGTTGATTTGAGATTTGGAGATTTTGAATCAGATCCGGATTGAGTGGTTCGTGACAGGCTGAAACTATTTTATTTGGATTTTAAATACAAAAAATTGCAGAAATTTC